TATATTGTTTTTTGAGGAATTTTACATTCTTTATTATTTTTTTCCACCAACATGTCATTTTGTACCCATTATCGCCTGGAGCACTTTACCCTGGCACCAAGGGTAGGCTCATCCTCAATAGCCCAAGGCTAGGCTGTGTGATTTTATCACCTGTTGCTAAGATTTGCCGCTCAAGCATTGGGGATATCGTCAGTCTCGAGCTTTGTTGTGAGAAGAATTTGTATCTCTTTATGTTGAGGAAGTCCATCAGTTTGTTGTTGAGCTCCAGCCACTTTCCTCTTGCTCCCACAACAAACCTGAAAAATTTTGGCTCAAGGCCTCCCATCAATTCCTTTATTTGCAACTTAAGATGTTTAATATTTTTCTAACCATGCCTTCTCGAGCACCTTGTTGTCATCCTCATAGCGGATGGTGACATCTACCACTGCTACTTTATTGTCTTCCCTGAATATTCATGTCTGGCTTCCAAAGAGAACCGTCCAGGGCCACCAGTCTCGGTTCTTGGTATGACGTCCATCCATACTTGGTGACATACAGGTGTAGCTGGTCGCAGACCTTGTTATGGCATTTGATTCTTGCGTTCTTTACAGAACTATGAGTGAGGGTTTTGTCAGGAGCCTCGCATCTCCTGTACGTTTTGATTTTATTTGCTATGCCCCTGGTCCGGATTGACTGAGTTGGATACAGGTTCACCATAATTATTTGAGATGATTTTATTTGGCAGGTAGACTTGATCCTCCTGGCCTCCTACCCTCCCTCGACCTCTTCATCTCAAACTGCCATTGTGGCATCAATTGCTTGAATCTCTCCACCCTTCTCATTTACTCCAACCTCTCCCCATCGGAGGGTGCAGTCTTCTGCTCCCTTCGCTCCAACCCCAACCTCACTATTAAACCTGCCAACAAGAGGTCAAGGTGGTAGTCTGATGAACTGACCCCTACATCGTTAAGGCCAGACACCACCTCTCTGATACTTCCCCCTACTGTCCCCTTGACCATGACCCACATCTGATCACCAAGTTATCATCTCCCAGACTATCCACAACTTCATCACTTCGGGAGACCTCCCATCCTCAGCCACCAACCTGATAGTTCCCCAACCCCACAGCATCTGTTTCTATCTCCTTTCCAAACTTCATAAACCCGGCTGCCCCAGTCAATGCATTGTCTCTGCCTGCTCCTGCCCCACCGAGCTGATCTCCTCCTACCTCAATTCCATTCTTTCTCCTTTGGTCCTGGAAATCCCTACCTACATTTGTGACACTACCCACATCCTCCACCTTTTCCAAAACGTTCAATTCCCCGTCCCCCAACACCTCATCTTCACCATGGACGTACAGTCCCTTTACACTGGTACCCCCATACAGAGGGCCTAAAAGCCCTCTGCTTCTTCCTCTCCAGCAGGCCCAACCAGTCCCTCTCCACTGGCATTCTCATTGGCTTGGCAGAACTGGTCCTCCCCCTCAACAATTTTCCCTTTGATTCTTTCTATTTCTACAAACCAAAGGGGTGGCCATGGACACCCACATGGGCCTAAGCTATGCTTGCTTCTTTGTCAGATATGTGGAACAGTCCTTTTTCCATTGTTACGCCAGCACCATCCCTCACCTCTTCCTCTGCTATATTGATGACTGCATCGGCGCTGCCTTGTGCCCCCACAAGGAGCTTGAACAGTTCATAAATTCGCCAACACCTTCCACCCCACCATCAAATTCACCTGGACCATTTCTGACACCTCCCTCCGCTTCCTGGACCTCTCCGTCTCCATTGCAGGAAACTGACTCACCACTGACAACCATTTCAAACCCACTGACTCTCACAACTACCTCGACTACACTTCCTTTCACCCAGCCTCCTGTAAAAATGCTATCCCATACTCTCAACTCCTCCACCTGTGCTGCATCTGCTCCCAGGATGAGACGTTTTACTCCATGACATCCCAGATATCCTCCTACTTCATGGACCGGAATTTCCCCTCCTCTGTAATTAAGGATGCCATCAGCTCCATCTCCCCCATTTCCTGCACTTCAACCCTCAAACCCTCTTCCCCCCAACAACAGTAAGGATAGAGTGCCCTTAGTCCTCACGTACCACCCCACCAACCTCCGAATCCAATGCATCATCCTCCAACATTTCCGCCACCTGCAATCGGACCCCACCGCCAAAAAGATATTTCCTTCCCCAACCCCATCTGCTTTCCACAGGGACCGTTCACTCCGTAACTCCCTTGTCAGATCTACAGTCTCCACCACACTCACTACCTTTCCCTGCAACCGCAAGAGGTGCAACACCTGCCCCAATCCTCCCCTCTCACCTCCGTCCAAGGTCCCAAAATATCATTCCAGATCTGGCAGAGATTCACCTGCACTTCATCCAATCTGATCTATTGTATCCGTTGCTCCTGTATCGGGGAGACCAAACGCAGACTCGGGGACTGGTTTGCAGTGTATCTGCACCCTGTACACACCAACCAACCCGACCTTCCTGTTGCCATCCACTTTAATTGCCCCTCCCATTCCTCTGGTGACATGTCCATCCTTGGCTTCCTCCACTGTCAGAGTGAGGCTAAACATAAACTGGAGGAACAACACCTGATATTTTGCCTTGGGAGCTTACAGCCCAATGGCCTTAATATTGGTTTCACCAGCTTCAGAATGCCTTCACCTCCAGCCTTATCCCATTTCCAGCCATCCCTCTCCTCCTTGCCGCCGTAACCTGACCAAACATGTCCATCTTCCCACTCACCTATGTGCTCTACCCTTCCCACTGACCAATCACAACAACCTCCTACCTCCATCCTTCTATCACCATCCCACCTACCCGTCCCACAGCCCCGTCCCCCTCACTCCATTTACTTCTGCGCTCCCCTCCCCCTCTCCAGTCCTGACGAAGGGTTTCAATTTGCAACATTAACTTGCCTGCCCCTCGGATGCTGTCTGACCTACTGTGCTTTTCCAACTTCACATCTGTTGACTCTGGCTTCCAGCATCTGCAGTCCTTACTGTCTCCAAGTCACTGTTAAGTATCAAAATTTATAGTCCAATAAACATTATTAGTTCCACTGTATGTTAGAGATTGTCCTTTTTGACACGATGGTTATTCCTGAACAAGAATTTTCTTAATCTAGTTCAGAGTCCGAGTCCCTACAGCAAAACCACAACTTTCTATCTTCACATTGTGATGACAATGGATAGTGGCTTCAGGTGGATTAGGACAGGCTGAGTTAATTGGCAAGAACATTGCAGATGGAATATAACATTATCCAATTTTGATTGGAAGAATATATGTGCAAATATATCTTAAATAGTGAGAGGTTGGAAAGTATAGATGCATAAAGGAACTGAGATGTCCTGGTCAGTATATCACTGAAAGTCTAACATGTAGGCCCAGTTATTCGGATAGCTAATGGAATGTCCACCTTTATTGCAAGAGGATTTGAGTACAGGAGGAGTGAGACCTTGCTTCTATTCTACAGCACTTGGTTTGAATGCACTTGGAATAATGTGCACGGTTTTGGTTTCCTTATCTCAGCAAGGGTATTATTACCATAGAGAGAGTGCAATGAAGGTTCACTGGATTGTTAAGGAATGGTGGGAGTGTCCTATGAGCAAACTGGGCCTGTATTCTCTTGAGTTTCCAAGAATGCAACATGATCTCATTGAAAGCTTCAAAATATTTAGAGGGATAGATCATCATCATCATCGTCATCATAGATTCCCTACAGTGTGGAAACAGACCCTTCGGCCCAACAAGTCCGCACCGACCCTCAGAACATCCCTCCCAGATCAATCCCCCATAACCCACCTAATCTACACATGCCTGAACACTATGGGCAATTTAGCATGGCCAATCCACCTACCCTGCACATCTTCGGACTGCGGGAGGAAACCGGAGCACCCGGAGGAAACCCATGCAGACACGGGGAGAACGTGCAAACTCCACACAGACAGTCAACCAAGGGTGGATTCGAACCCGGGTGCCTGGCACTGTGAGGCAACATTGCTAACCATTGAGCCACTGTGCTGGATAAAACCAGGGTTTACAGTTTGAAAATAAGGGAGATCTCACTTATATCTGAGATGAGAAATTATTTTACTTAGACAGCTGTCAACATTTGGAATTCTCTCCTACAGGAGGTTGTGGAAACTTGGTCTTTGTGTATGTTTAAGATAGAGATTGATAGATTTCTGATTACCAGTGGTGTACAGATTCTGGGGTTGGGTTGAGTAAAACAGCACTGAGGTGTTCGATCAGCCAGGATCGTACTGAATGGCTGGGAAGGCTCAATGGACTGAATGGCCTCCTTCTGTTCTTAACATCACCAGACTCCCTCCAGTTTTGAACATCTGTTGCTGAAACTCTAGGAACTTGAACTCAGCTAAAGCTGCTGCCCACACAATCCATGTCTGATTCACCCCTTACTCCTGTGCTTCTGGTTAAGCAGAACCTCAGTTTTGACATTTTCGTCCTTATTTTCAAATCCCTCCTTGGCCTTGCCCCCTCCTTATCCCTGTAACCTCCTGGACTGATGATCAGCCCCGAGTTCTGCTTCTTGGATGTCTCTATCTTTGAAGCTCTCACCTCCTTTAAGAATCTTCTTAAAACCTATATCTTTGACCATGTGTTAGTCACCTGTCCTTTTAATAGCTCCTTATGGGCCTGGTGGCAAAGACGCTTCATAAATACATGTTGCTGAAGTTGTTATTTTCAGCCCCCTCTCTTGGTTGCTGCCAGATGGAAAATGAACCCACAGAAGGGGCATGATTGAAGGCAGCACAGACACAGTCAACTGAATTAGAGAGTTCAGGATAAACTTGTTAACTGCCTATTGGTAAAATTGAGGGTCACAGACTGAAACTGAGTTACAGGGCACTGTGCTGAATTGTCAGTGAGGCCATGGTATGATCAAGAAGGTAATTAGTTATAGAAGCGTTTAAGGATGGGAGAAAAGGGCTTAAAAGTGAAGATGAGAATAAAAAAGCACAATTAACAATACAGAAATGAACTCATTGTAGATGTTGATATTTATTATTAAATTTGCCAAGAATTCCAGAATAAGTCTCCAAACCATTTGCATCTGGCAAATGTTTTCAATAACAATTCAAGAAAGACAGAAAATGAATGAATACAACAATCACAAATGAGTTTTCCACCAATGGCATGTTATCCAACAAGATGGTTGTCCAGATATTAAACGAACTGTAACATCGAGAATTAATCACACAGTCAGAATGTTACCATCATTCTGGAGGTAAACCTCTTCACCTTGAAAGTGATGGTTCCATGAGAGCTCAGTTCAGTTACAACTCCACACAGACCTGGCCTACCTGTTATCTTTCGATGGCAGATTAGAATTTCACCCCTATTCTAAGTTTAATTATTGCACCAAAGCTGCATTTTGTGATAACAGCTGCCAGCTGTAAAACTGAGGCTAAATCTGTGGTGGGAAGAAGTAGATAATGTGTTGTCTAAATCTAATCTGAGATTCAAGCACAGAAATTTCTCAATGGACCTAGATTCCACCCCCCCCCCCCCCAATTAAGTTCCAAACCTAGTCGTTTGGTTTGTTAATTGCTAACTACTCAGTTGGCAACACTGCTGCTCACTGGTGGTTCATGTCTAAACATGACATCATAAGTCAGCTGGTAACCATCATTGTATACGTAGAGTTTGTGATCAGCTGGATTGTAGTTAACACTTTGCAGTTTTTCCAAGACCTTACCCATCCTTATAGAAACCCTACCTTCCTGCCCAGTTCTGGTGTCAAATGTGTAGAAAATTTCCTCAGACTGTGGGTTCACAGGCCGAATTGCATACAGAACCCCACATATCATAAAAGCATTGGTCACACTAGGTTTAAACAGCCTGGTGACCCATGTCTTTTCCACAGTGAAGGTGGTCACATTAATCTTACCAATAACAGCATTTCCAGCATTTGCTTCAGGGCAGTAAATAATCCAGAGGCCAGTTTCATCCACAGCAAAGTCCATGTCTTGGTATGTGATCCCCGCGTAAGAATACCTGTTATTGAACGCTGCACCTCTAAGAGTTTCTCTTTGCACACTGCCTGTGTCTATGTTATACCTGCACATGTCCCTAGAATTGTAACAGTTGTAATACAAGGAATTATTGAACAAAACCATTCCACTTCCCTGTGCTCTGTATGTAGAACTTGAAAATGTTTCAGTTATTGAATTTTTGTAGAGAAGCAAATCATCGTGTGAGTAATACACTCTGAAGGAGTACAGCGTTCGTGCATCTGTGTAGAGTGGTGCCACCCAATACAGCTCCTTTTTATTAGGGGGTGGAATTGAATCTTTACCCCACCCTCCATATTTATAACTAAATCCATTATAATTCAGTTGTATTACAGTAGGTCCGCCTATTTGGAGAATGCCATTATGATCGCAGCTTCCTGTTTGGGGGGAAAAAATAGTAAGCTCCAGTTCATCTTTATGTACTTACATTTTCAACTTCTGGCAATTGTAATTAGATTGTCATTATAGCGATATACTGGCACAGATCCTCCTGTCCGGTCAGCGACTGACTTGCCCCAGATTTTATAGAATTCATAGAATCCCACCATGTGGAAACAGGCCATTCAGCCCAACAAGTCCATGCCGGCTCTCCGAAAAGCATCCCTCCCAGACTCATTCCCCTACCCTATCCCTGTAACCTTGCATTTCTCATGGTTAATCCACCTAACCTACACACCCCTGGACACTATGAGCAATTTCCAGGCCAATACCCTAACCTGCACATCTTTGGACTGTGGGAGAAAACCAGAGCACCCGGAGGTAACTCTCTCAGACTTGGGGAGAATGTGCAAACTCCACACAGACAGTTGCCATTGCCATCTTGCCCACCTGCCACACTACCCATCTTGCCAGGTGTGATCCTATGTAATCACCCCCCCCCCCCCCCCCACCCCAAGCACCCTATCAACTTAACCACTTATTTCACCTACCCTGCCCCATTACCCACTTATCTTGTCTCCATGGCTTTTCAACAAAGCTTTGGGACATTTAAACCTTCCTCATTGGAGTACAGCAGCTACTACTGTGGCTTCTATCCACTATTGTCTTGAGGATTGGTGTATTGAGTCGGTTCTGATGTCACTGAAATTTCGGAGGAAGTTAAGTATACTTATTTGTCACATAAGGGTTAAAAATAAGATTTCCCATCCTGATGGACAAATCTAAGTCAAAATATCCCGGGTACGCTAAGTTGTCTGTAAATTTCTAAACAAAAAATTACAATTGCAAACATTTTGGTTTATGAAATATTTATCATACTTTTAAACTTCCTATATTATAAATGGATGAATTCTGAACCCCATCTTGATAGTGGTGTCACTATATTGTGTGACCCTTAGCAGATCAATTACTCACCGTATTCAATGGGAGCATGAGTTGGTGGGGCTTGATTCTTCTCACAGTCTGCAAGCTGTTTCCTCAGCAGTGCAATTTCTTTGCGGAATGCCAGCACATTTTGTGTGTCAAACGATTCCAGCTCACTGACAGTGCGTGACATATTTGTAATCTGAAATAAACAGGCCATTTAAAGAGAGCATTTGGAATCATGGAGATATAAGGAGGCCATTCAGCCCTTTTGAGTAGGTTCTGCTTTCATTATTACTGTAGCTGATCTGTATTTTCATGGTCATTTGCTTGCCCTGGTTCTGTAACATTACTATCCTTAAGTGACAATCTGTCAAACCTAGCTGGGAAATTTTCAATTGTCCCACAGTCTCGGCAGCATTCTGAGGGAGAGGCCTTCAGATTTCCCCACCCTTTGTGTGAAGTGCTCATAGGCACAAGCCCTGAACAGTCAAACTCTAATTTAAGTTTATACCACCCTGTTCTGGACACCACTAACCGTATGACTGGACATAAGAGTCGTCCAGATGTTTGTATGGCGTATAGATTCCAACACAGTGAATGCTATCATCCTTAAACTAATGTGCCAAAAGTTAATGCTATTTTGATTCTGCACCCTGCTAAACCTGGCCTCTTGTTCATCTCTAAATTTCATTGCTACAGCCCTAAACTTTGGAACTTCCCCTTAAACTTTGTCTTTACATCACTCCAATATCTCTCTCTCTCTCTCTCTCTGTCTCATTCTCTCTCACTCTCACCCCATCTTTAAGATGTTCGTTAAAACCTATATCTTATCTTTGTTAATTTCTCTGCTCCCTATTAGTTTTGTTTGATATTGCTCCTGTGATGTGTTTTGGGATGTTTAACTCCTTCAAAAGCTCTTTATAAAAGTAAGTTGTTGGTCATAGAGTTATATAGCACGGAAACAGATCTTCTGGACCAACTGATCAGTGCCAACCACGTATCTTAAACTGATCTAGTCCCATTTGCCAACATTTGGCCCATATCCCTCTAAACGCTTCCTATTCATATTCTGATCCAGATGCCTTTTAAATGTTGTAATTGTACCCACCTCCACCACCACCACTTCTGGCAGCTTGTTCCATACACATACCACCCTCTGTGTGGGAAGGGTCGCCCCTCTGGTCCCTTTTAAATCTTTCCCTCCTCACCTTAAATCTGTGCCCTCTACTATTGGACTCCTGTACCTTGGGAAAAGGACCTTGACTATTTGTCCTATCCATGCCTGTCATGATTTTATTACCTTTTATATTTTTATTTCAAAAATATACTAATTCATAAAAAATATCTTTATATACAATACAGTCACTAATGCAGTTCGGTTCTGTACAATAGCAGATGAAGAAACAAACATTGCAGTTTGACTTTATCCAACAAACAAATCAAAAGCATTTCTCACTTGTACAATATATATTTACATGCCCTTGAGGCACAGCGGTGTCCAATAACTGAATGGGCTCCCATTTAACTTCAGCAGAAAGACTCAAACAGTGGTCTTTCCCCACTGCCTTGGCGGAAGCTGCCCCAGGCTTTAGTTTGTCCCTCAGTATGTAGTCCTGGACCTTGGTATGTGCCAGTCTACAACACTTGGTCAGGGTCAACTCATTGTTGTTGAAGACCAACATGCTTTGGGCAGACCAAAGAGCATATTTCACCAAGTTGATAGTCCTTCAGGCACAGCTGATGTTTGTCTTGGTGTGCATCTCAGGGAACACACTGTACAGCACAGAGTCCTGTGTCACAGAGCTGCTCAGGACAAACCTCCACAAAAAAGCGCCAAACTATTCAGCCTCTCCCTATAGCTTGAAGCCTTCTTGTTGTTGCAACTAATAATTCCCCCTCCATCAGATGACTAAGTCTTTACAAACTGCGCCTCTGGTAATTTGAGTGTCCTAAAGACGTAACATACTCAACCAGTGCAGGACGGAGAAACACAAGACTAAACAGAGCAATTTGTTTCTTCCTGACCTTAGCGTAAAGCTGATCGATAATGCTGTTGCTGTTGTTAAGGGAGTTCCTCAGCTGATTGGTGAGTGTCTCTAGTTCTTGGATCTCCAGTTTCAGCAGCTCAAAGTCGAGCTGAGTGTAGGAATGACCAGTTTCCATCTTTTCCAGGCGGCGTGTCAGATTCAGCAGCTTGGAGGAGTGTACAGAGACAGCCCTTGAGTATTCCTGTACCTGGAACATCACAGTAAATGTGTGGAGTTACAGCCACCTCCAGAATTGCCGAACCACCTTCACCGCTCATCACACTACACAGTTACCATGTTGTAGTTTGGTGTGATTTGTAATGAATTCTCCACAAATTTCTCATGACTACAATAATTTCAAATAAATTAAACCCTGTTTTTTTTCACATTAAACCGGTAATGTAGAAAAACTTACGTTAATTCTAGTGGACAATTATATACAATAAGGTTTTAGAGTAGATTTGTAGCTCAAGTTGTGGATGTTGTGGTTGATTGGCTTGCTGAGCTGGTTCGTTGTTCCGCAGGCATTTCATTAGCCAGCTGGATAGTATCATCAGTGCAGCCTCCGATGAAGTGCTGTGGTGTTTTCCTGTTATTTAAACTCTGGTGTCCATTGAGCTGGATTACCTCACTTCCGGTTTTCCTTTGCATTGTATATGGGGTCTAGCTCTACATGTTTATCGATGGCTTTCTTCGTGGAGTACCAGGCTTCTAGGAAATCCCATGCTTCTCTCTGCTTCACCTGTCCCAGGATCCTGGTGTTGTCCCAATGGAACTGGTGGATTCCCTTATCCATGTATTCCTTAACCACACAGATCAGGAAAACCACCAGTTCAATTGGGACAACACCAGGATCCTGGGACAGGCGAAACAGAGACAAACATCGGACTTCCTAGAAGCCTGGTTCTCCATGAACAAAGCCATCAATAAACACATAGAGCTAGACCCCATATACACTCCATTGCGAAGGAAAACAGGAAGTGAGGTAATCCAGCTCAACGGACACCAGAGTTTAAGTAACAGGTGGGAAAATACCACAGTGCTTCATCGGAGGCTGCACTGATGATGTTACCCAGCAGGGTAATGAAACATCTGCGAACAACGAAACGGTTCGGTGAGCCAACCAACCACAATTATTTACAATATAAAAGTATGTTGGGAAATCTTCCAGTTTAACATTTAAAACCTATTTAATTGTGCATATCCACATATCATAATTGAAGTGCATTTCAGTTTAACAAATTCAAATTATTTTCATTATAAAAACAGACATTGCTGTTAAAGCTCAGCAGGTCGGGCAGATTCTCTGGAGAGAGAAACAGTATTATTTCAAGTCTAATGGAGGGCTATGTGTTGGAAAATTAGGGGCAAATCACTGACAAATATTTTTCATATCACCAACAAATATTCTCCATTAATAAACACCTGTCCATTTCATCCATCAATATCACTCAATGAATTTCATGGGACTGGTCATGTCGTACAACTAATTGTCTCACCATAGTCTTCACTCTGATTTAGGGCATTAAATGTTAGGCCTAAGTTATTAACGCAGTCTGAATGTGGCTGGAATTTGCTACAGTAATAAATGAACCTTGCTGATTTCCTGTTCCACGCTGCTTTTGAGCTCCTGTGATGTTATTTCCAAATATTCCACCTTTTCCACCGGGAATGATGTATCAGGCAAAACCACAGAGCAGAGACAAACTCCATCGTTGTTGATTGTCCCATTGACATTGATGCCAGACTGTAGATGTAGAAATCAGAATTAGTGTAAATTCATCACTGATGCAAACTGGTAACATTCTTCAACCCTTTCCCAAATTAAAACACCCTTTTTCAGAAAAGGGTCCCAACCCGAAACATCAACTTTCCTCCTTCTCTGATGCTGCCAGGCCTGCTGTGTTCCTCCAGCTCCACACTTTGTTACCTCTGACTCCAGCATCTGCAGTTCTTGCTATCTCTGATTGTCACTGGGTGAAAGTTGACACTTGTGATCATTTCACTAAGCTTTGGTGCTGATGTGGATTGTCACTGAACTTGAGTGAGAATCAAAAGGCCATTGCTCCAGATTGCAGCTGTATCTTTGACCTACATGCACGTTGAATTGGAGGAAGAAGTTCATACAGTCCCTCTGAAAAAGTATTAATACAGATTCTGAACTTGACATGGAAACATAGAAAAAAGATTGGTGGTGTAGTGAACAGAGTGCAACTGGACCTTGATTGGGTGAGCTGATGGGCCAAGGAGAGTCAGATTGAGTTTAATTTTGGTAAATATGAGGTGCTGCAGTTTGGTAAGGCATACCAGGGCAGGACATATAAATGTAATGGTCAAGTCTTGGGGAATGTTGCTGAATGAAGACACCTTGGGGTGCAGGTTCAGTATTTCTTGAAAGTGGAGTCACAGGTAGACAGGTTAGTGTAGAAGGCATTTGGTGCACTTGCTTTTATTGGTCAGAGCATTGAATATAAGTGTTGGGATGTCATGTTGCAGCTGTACAGGACACTGGTGAGGCCACTTTTGAAATTCTGGTCTCTCTGCTATAGGAAAGATGTTGTGAACGTTGAGAGGGTGAAGAAAAGATTTACAAGTATGTTGCTGGGTTGGAGGGTTTGAGCTATAAGGAGAGGCTGATTAGGCTGGGCTATTTTCCCTGGAGCAATGAGGGGTGACCTTATAGAAGTTTATAAAATGATGAGGGGCATGGATAGGGTGAATAGCCAAGGTCATTTTTCCCAGAGTAGGTGAGTCCGAAACTAGAGGGCATAAGTTTAAGGTGAGAGGGGAAAGATTTAAAAGAACCTAAGAAGCAACATTTTCATGCAGAGGGTGGTGCGTGTATGGAATGAGCTGCCAGAGGAAGTAGTGAAGGCTGTTACAATTACAACATTTAAATGGCATCTGAACAGCTATATGAATAGGAAGGGTTTAGAGGGATAAAGGCCAGTTGCTGGCAAAAGGGACTAGAATAATTTAGGAAATCTGCTCAACGTGGATAAGTTGGACCGAAGGGTCTATTTCAATGCTGTTCAACTCTAATGATTCTAAGACAGTATGAGTAGTCGGTTTATCCCATTGAGCACCCACCATTATTCACATGATCGTGACCAATCCTTTTTCTCAACCCTATACTTCTGCTCTCTTCCATTTCCCTTAACACCCTTAAACTTAATAAATCTTTCATAAATATGGTCTGTGTCTCAGCCTGCACGGTTTTCTGTGTCAGGAAATTCTGCTGAGTTATGAACTTCTAAGTGAAGATATTCCTCCTCATCTCAGTGTGAAATGGCCTATGCTGTATTCTTACTCATCTGGGGTGAGTCTGGAATAAAGTTTCTATGAAGTTTTCACACTGCTGCTTTCCTGAATCACCCCTGATATTGAGAGCAATTTGATGTGCTAAATCAAGAGTTTGTTAGAGGCATGTTGATCCAAGTCTAACTCTTCTACAGCTCAAAGTACTACCAATATAACATGACAATAAACAGCTTTGAGTAAGTATGGCTCTTCACTTCTCATATCTGTACCTGGTGGGTCAAGGCAGACAATGTGAAAATTGATCCAGACCATCATTTCATTTGAGGGTTCTGAAGTGATATGAGAGCTAATCATTTCCACCACTAATTGTCAGCATTGAACACAGTCAGGCCATGGTCAGATCGGTCACTATGCCTCACTCAGAGAACTGAGAGTGAACATTGAGGGCTTGCATTTAATGAGCAACTTCCAGAACCTCCCACAGAGTCAATTAAATAACTTTTCAGAGAAAATGCGTTAGTCAGTTTGCATCAAAATTGTCATGCATACACTAAGATCAGTATTTTTAGTGCTGTTGGTTGAGGAACAAACGTTGGCCAGGATGCTAGGGATAAACTGGACTGCTGTTCTTTGGAACAGCATCATTAGATCTGTTCCGTGCAGCTGGAACAAGGGACAAAGCCTTGATTTTGAACAAAGGCACCTCCAACTGTGCGACATTTCTAGTGCTGCACTGGATTTGCAGGCTAGATTACATACTCAAATCTCCAGAGAGGAGTTTGCACCCAGAACTAACATCCAACTTGGAGGCGAGGGGCATTGAGCCACAGCTGATCTTAACACACACAAACTTACAACAGGAATATCTTGAAGTAATTTGCAGCTGTTATAAAATTAGAAGTAAACTCACAGAAGGCAGGACAGTAGCTGCGATCACCAGAAGGAACAACATCTTCATTTTGCTTCTGAACTCACTGTCAAGGTGCTTGAGGAGGGGTTCGAGGTTTAAATAAAAAGGTCAGCAGAAACTCCTCCCTAAATTGAGTGACACGTTCTTCTGAGAGCAAATCAGAAAATAAACCTTTCTGGTACTGTATCTAAATCATTAGAACCAGGTGAGTAAACTTGCTAAATTGTTGTGTAGTTATGTCAATGATTCAGAGTAAGGTGGTTTTTGCTTCCATTATTTTCAAACCTGATGTGGTTGTCAACTTAAGAGTTTTGTTTTATTTGAATAATGCCTCAGGTATTTCTTTTAGCAAAAGACTTCTTTCCAGTATCTGCCTTTTTTGTGGCTGTGGTCACAGGCATGCCCATGTTCTGTTATCTTGCCAAGTGGATTCTAAAGAAACATTTGTATTTATATAATTAATAACGTATATATTTGCACAACTTTTCTGTGGCTGACAATCGGTTCAATCACACACTCGCACTCTGGTACCCTGGTATGGCCACTATCTCCACTCGCCCTAAAGTGACAAAAACTTGGTAGAGAATTGGTTTAGCCATTCACCTACCAGATTTAGCTGGACCACACTGAAAACACTGTCAGATTCTGCTGTCATCTGCTAAACCTTATCACCATTCCAGAATTGCCCTGGCATGCAAAGATGGCTCCTTTATCTCTGCTGCCAAATTACCTTCTTAAACCTAAGGTTTTGGAGTAGATTTGTAGCTCGGGTTGTGGGTGTTGAGGTTGGTTGGCTCGCCAACCAACCTCAGTACCTTCTTAAATCTCTCTCCCCTCCATTCTCATCTCCAACAACAAGTGCGAACAGCTCATGGACTTCATTGTGACCAAAATTGAGACAATACTGTCCGCTCTCCCTCTCGCTTGGTGCAGCCAAGCAGGTTGCCAGGGTGCTTTACTTAGTTAAAGATGCTATATAAATACAGGTTGTTGGGGGTGAAGAGATAACACAGTGTGGAGCTGGAGGAGCACAGCAAGCCAGGTAGCATCAGAGGAGTAGAAAAGTTGATGTTTTGGGTTGGGACTCTTCTTCTGAAATGGGAGAGGGGGAAGGGAGCTCTGAAATAAACAGTGAGAGGAGGGGTGGGATTGGGGAAAGTGGTTGGAATGGTGATAAGTGAGTGCAGGTAGGCAGTGGTGGGGATTGGTCAGTGAGGTGGGAGAAGCAGGTAGGTGGCAGAGAAGATGGACAGGTTGTGTCAGGTCAAGGAGGTGGGAATGAGAGGGAGTGTTGGTCATGTTATGAGGCCAGGGGTGGGAAGATTTTGAAACTGGTAAAGTCTACATTGAGACCATTGGGTTGTAGGCTCCCAATGCGGAATATGAGGTGCTGCTCCTCCAGTTTCAGGGTGGCATCATTGTGACACTGGAGGAGGCCTAGGAAGAACAGAGAGTAAGAGATCTGATGATTAAATTCTTCCCTTGGAAGTCCTGGTGAGATGCTGGGTGTAACACCATTAACATTATAATTCTGTGTCACTCACCTCCTGTCTTGTAGTTTCAATGTCTGTGGATTTGTCTGTCATGAGAAAGGTAGCAGACTTCCTTCCTATCCCTCAGCATCTTAATAACAGCACTGCAAAAACATGGCTCAAACACATTGTGCTGAAAAGATGAACTGAAAAGACCCTTTCCCTTTAAGAGGTGAAAGTTAACTATAACAGGTGTCAGGACCATAGGACAGCCATTCTCCTCTGCATGATCTGTCAGTCAGCAGTGAGGTTTATCTGTGAAATGTAAATCACCCAGTGATATCATCAGGTTTTTTAATTCTTCCATGGGATGTGGGCATTGTGATCAAGGATTTGTTGCTATCTCTAATCACCCTTGAACTAAAGTGAAATTGGAAACTAGTTGCAGAATAAGCATGTAATTGCGAAATATGGAAAATAGCAACAGGAATAGGCCATTCAGCCCTTCGAGCCTGCTCTGCCATTCAATATGATCATGGCTGATCATCCAACTCAGTACACTTCTTCCATACTGTTTGATACCTTTAATCCTAAAAGAAATCTAACTCCTGTTCAAAATTTTCAGTGTTTTGGCATTAACTGCTCTCTGTGGCAGAGAATTCCACAGGCTTAACATTCTCTGAGTGAGCAAACTTCTCTTAATTTAACTTCTTAATCAGTTTTCTTTATTTTGCATCACTAATCCCTATAGCTATACTCACAAGACCAACGATTATCTTTCCACATACTAGAGTGTATCCTTCAGTCGTTGATCTGTTGAATGAGACCTCTTCATGACTCCAGGGTTGACTAGACCACTGTACCGTGATGACTGTGCTGACCAACATGATGTTTATAGTATACAGCACGTCACTGAAGTTGATGCTCATGCTGTCTTTGGGATATCAGACAATGCTAGCACATATACTATATTAATCTAACCCTCCCTCACCTGGGAATTTTTACTTGACTGTATTTGCTTTTTCTCCTGCCATCCTGTGCATTTCCCCCACCTTAAGCCAATACTTTTCTCCCCCAACTTTCAATTGGAAAATATCAACCCTACTTCAAAGTCAGTAAGCCAGTTCTTATCTTGTCACACCCAATGGTAAACACCAAGTTCCTGCAGGTGTTCAGTGCAGACAAATATTTAACACTTGTCCCTTGTCCAGCAAAGTAAATATCAGAGGGTCTCTATTGTACGTTTCTTTAGTTGTTGCTGCCTTCCTCTCCTCAAACACACATTGCCCATTCTCATGCGTATGGGATTGTCAACAGCTGTTTACAGTTGAGTACATAAATAAAAGACATGACAAAATACTAAAAATAATTGGCTGCCAAATTACGAGCACTATGAATTTGTAGAACTAAGGTAAGTGGTTTTTAAAACAAAAATTGGGTACATCTTTATCTTACAAAGGGTAGTTAAGAGTCAACTATATTGCTGTGGGTTTAGAATAAATAACATTGCCATAGTTGCAGAGGACTGGCCTCTCAGAGTGATGATCAGCAGTAAGTTTAACCAGAGGACCACCATGTCACATGGTGAGATTGACAAATTGGGACCTTTCTGGTGACCTTGGCCACTGTGGGAATTGAACATGCGCTGTTAGTATTATTCTGCATTGTAAACTAGCCATCCAGCCAACTGAGCTAACCAACCATGCAGGTTTTGAATAGCATGTAGGCCAGTCCTGGATGGCTAATTGGCATCTCTAAAAATTAACCAAATTTGTTTTTTTTTATTAGGAGTTATTAGGGCTATTTTTCAACTCAGGCCTTTATAAAGTTAATTCCCAGCCGCCATTATGAATGGGATTTGAATCCACATCCACAGATTACTAACCCAGTGACATTACCAATCTGCCAACATTTCCCTTGAGGGTTGCTGCTGTAGTTGCAGTATCTACTGCATGTCTGTAATGCAAACTGAAAATCAGGTTCACTGTCCAGAAATCAGGCAAAGTACAAACTATACTTACCTTGATGTGGAGAAGCTGGTGTTGGACTAGGGGGTATAAAGTCTGAAGTCACGTGACACCAGGTTATTGTCCAACAGGTTTATTTAAAATCACAAGTTTTTGGAGTGCTGCTCTTTCATCAGATGAAGTGGGTCACCTGACAAAGGGGCAGCACTCGGAAAGCTTGTGATTTCCAAATAAAGCTGTTGGACTGTAACCTGGTGTCATCATAGAAGCCCTACAGTGTGGAAACAGGCTCTTTGGTCCAACAAGTCCACACCACCCCTCAGAGCACCCACCCAAACCCATCCCTGAACACTACAAGCAATTTAGCACAGCCAATCCACCCTAACCTGCACATCTTTGGACTGTGGGAGGAAACCCAGGCAGACACAGGGAGAATATGCAAACTCTACACAGACAGTCGCCCGAGGCTGGAATCAAACCCAGGTCCCTAGTGCTGTGAGGTAGCAGTGCTAACCACTGTGCCACTGTGTTGTGTGACTGCTGACTCCTTCATATTCATATACCCATCCAGATGTCTTTTAAATGTTGTAATTATACCAGTCTCCACCACTTCCTCTGGCAGCTCATTCCATACATGTGCCACCCTGAAACAGTTACCTCTCAGGTCCCTTTTAAATCTTTCCCCTCTCACCTTAAACCTATGCCCTCTAGTTTTGGACTCCCCTACCCTGGAAAAAAAGACCTTGGCTATTCACCCTATCCATGCCCTTGATGATTTTATAAACCTCTATAAGGTCACCCCTCGGCCTCCAATGCTCCAGGAAAATAGCCCCAGCCTATTCATCCTCTCCCTATAGCTCAAACCCTCCAACCCTGGCAACATCCTTGTAAGTCTTTTCTGAACACTTTTTCAAGTTTCACAACATCCTTCCTATGGCAGGGAGACCAGAATTCAAATAAACCTGTAGACCGTAACCTGGTTTCTGTGACTTTATACTTATCTTGTCACCATTCCTGAAGCCATTGGACACCTTCTGTCAGAATCTGTGAATAATTGGCTGTACCTCTGAAGCCCACATCTGGAATTGTTTTGGGTGGAGGGGGAGTTAGTGGTGGAGTAATAAAGGGGGGGGAGGGTGGACTTAGTCCTAGACAAGCAGAACTTACTCTGCAATATGTTCCAGCATTGGTTCAGTCGCAAGTGAACTGCTGCTCAGGACATTCAGTGCAGTGACCCTTTGGTGTTCTGAATGCCTGTGACCAAGCTCTGGGAGCCTTTTGTTGAACTGTTGATGGGATGAATGACCCACTGAGATAAGCTTCCTGTCTCTCTGCCAGTGGAAACTACTTCTTAACTGTTAAAATGCCTTAGAATTTAGACTGGCTGTTAAATTTCCCCACAATCCACTCTATCGAGAAAATAATCATCTTCTCTTGTCCCTTCTCTGTCCAAAAAGGGAAATAGGGATAATCCAAGAAATTATAGACCCGAGAGTCTCACGTCGCTGGTTGGAAAGCTATCGGAGAGAATTCTTCGGGATAGGATTTAGACACATTTGGAAAAGCATGGCCTAATTAGGGACAATCAGCATGGTTTTATGCAGGGCAGGTCATGTCTTACTAGATTGAATTTTTCAAGGAGGTGATGGGTGTGATTGATG